AGGCCCGCCCCGGTGGCGCAGTCCGCATGCGGTTCCCCCTATCCAAGGCAGCGCTTCGTGGCCCCATATGGAGCCCCACCGAAAGCGGCACCCACAACGCGTTACCAACAATTGCTTATGGTTGGGTCTTTCGCCAGGATAATTCGATGTTTTCGGCCTCCTCGCCTCTTCGGCTTGCGACGCTCCAAGACAGCCCAAGAAGTCCCCCCGACCGCTCCAAGACGGCCGAAGAGGACCCCAAGAGAGCCCCAAGACGGGCCAGGAGGGCCCCCAGACGGTCCCAAGACGCCCCAGGACGGCCCCAGGACGGCCCCAGGACGGCCCAGGAGGCGCCCAAGAGGCACCCAAGACGGCCCCAGGAGCGGCCCAAGACGGCCCAAGACAGCCCAAGAGGCGCCGAGGCGGGTCTCAGACGGCCCCAAGACGGCCCAAGAGGCACCCAAGACGGCCCGAGAGGGCCCTAAGAGCCCCCCCGGGAGGCCCAAAAGAAGGCCGAAGAGGCTCCGAAACGGCCCCCACGAAGCCTTCAGTGCCTTCAGAATTCCCTCCAGGAGCGGGGGAGCGGACGAGAGGCGACAGGCATATCGCAGGCAAAAACGCCCCAAGAGATCCCCAAACGGCCCCCACGAAGCCCTAAGTGGCTTCAGAATTGCTTCCAGGAGGGGGGGAGCGGACGAGAGGCGACCGGCATATCGAAGGCACAAAAGAACAATGTTGGACGCTCCGAGGGCCTTCGATGTTTCTCCGTTGGGGAGAGTCGTCGCAGGATCGACGATTGCCGACCGAGGGCAGCGAATCCAGTGGAGGCCCAAGAGGCTTCCAGGAGCCCAAAAGAGATCCCTAAGAGGTGCCACGGGGCTTAAAAACTGCTTCGAAGCGAGGGGGGCGGACGAGGGGACCGCCTAAGGACGTTTTGGACGGTTTTGGGCCTCAAAATCGTCCGCTTTACGACGGTTTTGGAAGGATTTTGGCCTTCTCGCCTTTTCCGCTTTCCGACGCTCGAAGACGGCCCAAGAGGCCTCCAAGAGCGCCCCAGAACGGCCCAAGAGGTTTCCAAGAGCGCCCCAAGACAGCCCAAGAGGGCCCCAAGACGACCCAAGAGACGCTCAAGACGGCCCACGAGGGCCCGAAGACAGGCCCAAGAGGGGGCCAAGAGGGGGACCACGGACCGAAAATCCGAGCCTTCCGCCCCAAGAGGGCGCCAGGAGGCCCAAACAGGCCCCCAAGAGGCCCCAAGGGGCCGCCAAGAATCCCCCGAAGAGGCCCCAGGAGGCTCCCAAGGAGCCCAAACGAGGCCCCTACAGAGGCCCCAACAGCTTCCAAAATGGCCCCGAAGAGGCCTCGAGCCCGCCTCCGAGCTTCCTCGCCGCGAGGGTGCCAACACGGCCCCAGACCGGCCCAGGACGGCCCAAGGCGCGCTCAAGACGGCCCAAGACGATTCCAAGACGGTCCCAGGAGGGTGCGCCCAGGACGGCCCAAGGACGCGCCCGTTCGGGGCCTCAAGACGGGCCAAGATGGCAAGAGAGTCCCAGCTGGCAAAAATCGATAATTTTCCATTGTTTACTGTTACACCCTTTGCGTTTCCCGCCGTTTCGGCGGTCCGATGCACCAAGAGGCCCCAGAAAGTCCCAGGAGGGTCCGAGGAACCGCCCAGGAAGGCCCCAAGACGGGCCAAGACGGACCCAGCACAACCCAAGGCGCGCTGCGACGGCTCAAGACGGCTCCAAGACAGCCCCAAGAGGGTGCCAACACGGCCCCTGCTGGGCCCAGGACGGCCCAAGGAGGCGCACAGGAGGGGCCCAAGACGACTCCAAGGCGGCCTCCTCCAAGACGGGCCTAGACGGCTCCAAGACAGCCCTTTGAGGGAGCCAACGCGGCCCCACACCCTTCGGGCCACACTTGGGGGGGCTGGGAGCTTGCCCAAGTCTCCCACATTCATTGTCCTGCCCCATTCTGTTCGCCTGGAGGCCTCCTCCAACCCTGTGGGCGAACAAGAGGAATCCCAGCGGGACGCCAACCCTGGGGCCCGTGGGCCCCGCGCCGCTTGGGCAGAAGACGAACGCCGGGTCTGACAGGCCAGCTACCGCCCCCCTTTGCCCGATATGATCCGATATGCTGTGCCATTCTGTTCCCCCAGGGGCCTTGGCAAACTCTTCGGGCCAAGCAGACCGGACCCCTGGGACAGCAGCCAATTGACATGACCCTGGGACCTCTCCGCATTCTTCGGACGAGCATCTGGGGGGCCCAGGAGATTCGGACATGTCTTCCCCATTCCTTGCCCTGTCCCGTTCTGTTCGTCCGAAGGCCTCCACAGACCCTCTGGGCGAACAGAATGGGACATGGCGAACAAACCCTCCCGTTGGCGGTGATGCGACTGGATCGCACCATCAAGGCGCGCCCGGAGGTGATGGCCGACCCAACAGCGGTTTCTCTTAAGAGTTCATTGGATTTCAATTTTCTTGAAGCTCTCTTGGGCCCTCCCTGTAGATCCTTGCGAGCCTCCCCGGCGCTTTCGGTGGCTTTCCCCGATGGCCTCCCGAGCCCTTCCCCGAGCGCTCCTGAGACGCCTCAGATGGGCTTCGACTTCGACGCACATCCCCGAGAGACTTCGAAACTGTCCTCAATAGGAGGGGGGTGAACGAGCAGTGCGCTGGGCCAAGCTGCTGCAGCGCTGCAAGAGCTCGGACACGAAGGCGCGGTCTCGCTGCCGCCGCCCGAGCCGCCGCCGTGTTTGTAGATTTTCGGTACAATCTGCGCCGTTACTCCGAGAACCATTCCAGAAAGATGTCGTGGACGGAGTCCACGGGTCAGCCCTAGTTTCTACTACATTGCAGGGCCCAGTGCGTGCCAGAAGGGCGCAGGCTCCAATGTCTCAAAACCGCCCCGGGCTGGCCCCGGGCCGCCCCGGGCCGCCCAGGCAGGCTCCAGGACATGTCCGGAGGGCCCCCAAAAGCCCCCAAGACGGCCCCGGAGAGCCCCGGCACGCTTAAAGATGGGCCCAAGACGCCCGAGATTCGCCCCAGGCGGCCCAAGAGGCGTCCAAGACGCCCGAAGAGGCCTCCCAAGAGGCCTCCCAAGAGGGCCCCGAGCGACAGAAATCGTCGATTTCTAATGTGTTTTTCTATGTTTTCGGCCTCCTCGCCTCTTCGGCTTCCCGACGCTCCAAGACGGCCCAAGAAGTCCCCCCGACCGCTCCAAGACGGCCGAAGAGAACCCCAGAGAGCCCCAAGACGGGCCAGGAGGGCCCCCAGACGGTCCCAAGACGCCCCAGGACGGCCCCAGGACGGCCCAGGAGGCGCCCAAGACGGCCCAAGAGGCACCCAAGACGGCCCCAGGAGCGGCCCAAGACGGTTCCAAGACAGCCCCACGAGGACCCCGATGGGCCCAGGACGGCCTACGGACGCGCCCATGAGGGGCCCACGACGAACCAAGACGGCCCCATCAGGGCAAACGGCGCCCTCAAGACGGGCCTAGACGGCTCCAAGACGGCCCTTTGAGGGAGCCAACGCGGCCCCACACCCTTCGGGCGCACACTTGGGGGGGCTGGGAGCTTGCGACAAGTCTCCCACATTCATTGTCCTGCCCCATTCTGTTCGCCTGGAGGCCTCCTCCAACCCTGTGGGCGAACAAGAGGAATCCCAGCGGGACGCCAACCCTGGGGCCCGTGGGCCCCGCGCCGCTTGGGCAGAAGACGAACGCCGGGTCTGACAGGCCAGCTACCGCCCCCCTTTGCCCGATATGCTGTGCCATTCTGTTCCCCCAGGGGCCTTGGCAAACTCTTCGGGCCAAGCAGACCGGACCCCTGGGACAGCAGCCAATTGATATGACCCTGGGACCTCTCCGCATTCTTCGGACGAGCATCTGGGGGGCCCAGGAGATTCGGACATGTCTTCCCCATTCCTTGCCCTGTCCCGTTCTGTTCGCCCGAAGGCCTCCACAGACCCTCTGGGCGAACAGAATGGGACATGGCGAACAAACCCTCCCGTTGGCGGTGATGCGACTGGATCGCACCATCAAGGCGCGCCCGGAGGTGATGGCCGACCCAACAGCGGTTTCTCTTAAGAGTTCACTGGATTTCAAATTTTCTTGAAGCTCTCTTGGGCCCTCCCTGTAGATCCTTGCGAGCCTCCCCGGCGCTTTCGGTGGCTTTCCCCGATGGCCTCCCGAGCCCTTCCCCGAGCGCTCCTGAGACGCCTCAGATGGGCTTCGACTTCGACGCACATCCCCGAGAGACTTCGAAACTGTCCTCAATAGGAGGGGGGTGAACGAGCAGTGCGCTGGGCCAAGCTGCTGCAGCGCTGCAAGAGCTCGGACACGAAGGCGCGGTCTCGCTGCCGCCGCCCGAGCCGCCGCCGTGTTTGTAGATTTTCGGTACAATCTGCGCCGTTCCTCCGAGAACCATTCCAGAAAGATGTCGTGGACGGAGTCCACGGGTCAGCCCTAGTCAGCTACAGTGCTGGGATCAGCGCGTGCGAGAAGGGCGAACAGTGGCAGCGGGCGCTGGCGCTACTGAGCGAGATGTGGGAGCTGAAGCTGGCCCAACGCAGCCAGCTGCAGCCCTGCGATCGTAGCATCGTTGCGCAGGAACGATGCGACAGGCTAGTTAGCTTCAACGCTGGAAGCGGGCTCTGGCGCAGCTCATTGAGATGCACGAGTCGAAGCTAGAGCCCGACGTCATCTCTCCTACAATGGCCGGACCAGCGCTCGCGGAGCTGCCAATCGGTGGCAGCGGACGGGCCCTCCCCGGCGGCCTTTGCGAGCCCCAGCAGGCCTCTCATCTGCTAGCGCGTTTGGGAAAGGCGAGCAATGGCAGCGGGCGATGGCGCTGCTGAGCGAGATGCGAGAGGCGAAGCTGGAGCCCGACGCAGCCTGCTACGTCCCTGCGATCGGCGCCCTGCTGTGGAGAGACGATACGACAGGCTAGTCAGCGACAACCCTGGGGAACAGCGCGTGAGTGAAAGGTGGGTCAGGGGCTGCGAGCCCTGGCGCCGTTGAGCGAGATGTGGGTGGCGATATTGGTATTCGGACGGTATCCGAACTTTAGCGCCGCGATCAGCGGGTGCAGGAAAGGACCCTCCTCCTCCTCCTCCTCCTCCTCCTCCTCCTCCTCCTCCTCCTCTCGACCGCTCAAGACAGGACGCTCAAGAGAGCGCCAGAAAGCCTCAAGAGAGCGCCAGAAAGCCAGAAAGGACGAGCAGCGGCAGCTGGCGCTGGCGTTGCTCCGCGAGATGCGGGAGGCAGTGCTTGAGCCCAACGCCATTACCAATTGCAGCGCCGGAGTCAGCGTGCGCGGGAAGGGCAATCAATGGCAGCAGGCTCTGTTGCTGCTTAGCGAGAAGTGGTAGGTGAAGTCTGAAGCCGACGTTATCAGGTCCAGCGTTGGGATCAGTGCGTACGACAAGGTCGAGCAGCGGCAGCGTAATTCGGCGCTGCTCGGCCAGATGCGTGAACGTTGGAACCCAGCGTCATCTTCATTACCGCGACGGGATCTGCAGGTGTGAGAAGGGCAAGCAGTTGCAGCAGGCCTTGTCGCAGCTCTGCGCGACGTGGGAGGCAAAAGGATCAGTGCGTGCGAGAAGGGCGAGCAGTGGCAGCGGGCCCTGGCGGGAGGAGGAGGAGGAGGAGGAGGAGGAGGAGGAGGAGGAGGAGGAGGAGGAGGAAGAGGAAAAGGAGGGAGGAGGAGGAGGAGGAGGAGGAGGAACAAGTAGGAAAAGACAGGAGGAGGAGGGAGGAAGGAGGAGGAGGAGGAGGAGGAGAAGGAGGAGGAGGAGGAGGAGGACGAGGAGAAGGGACGAGGAGGGGGAGGGAGGAGGGAGGAGGAGGAGGAGGAGGAGGGAGGAAGGAGAGGAGGAGGAGGACGAGGAGGAGGAGAAGGAGGAGAAGGAGAAGGAGGAGGAGGAGGAGAGGAACAAGTAGAAGAAGACGAGGAGGAGGAGGGAGGAGGGAGGAGGAGAGGAGGAGGAGGAGGAGGAGGAGGAGGAGGAGGAGGGCGGAGGAGGAGGAGGAGGAGGAGGGAGGAGGAGGAGGAGGAGGAGGAGGAGGGAGGAGGAGGAGGAGGCTCCGTCCCTCCCCTGGCTGCTGGGCCCCTCCCGCGCGGGGCCGCTGCTAACTCCCACGCCGACTGCCTGCGGTCCTCCTCTTCCTCCTCCTCCTCCTCCTCCTCCTCCTCCTCCCTCCTCCTCCTCCTCCTCCTTGGCGGCCCAGTTTCGGGCAGCGGTCTGGGCGGTCGACGTGCAAGGAGCATCGGCACGACCGGCCGCCTGCAGGGCCTGCGGCCTGGTCTTCGAAGCAGGCGAGTTGCGCTTGTGCACCTGGGGTAACCGCACGTGCTCACGCTGGATGTGCACTACCTGCCTGAAGGGTCGCCTGCCGCCAGGCGCGGAGCTCCGGGCTCATGGGAGAGGCGATGCGTTGAGCGCCGAGGCGGCGCGAGCGCAGACGGCAGTCCGCGAGGCTACCCGCGGAGCAGGAGCCGCCGCTGGAGGGGCGCCGCCGGCGCAGCAGCAGCAACACCAGCCCGTCCAGCATCCAGCTTGGGACGACAACGAGCTACCCGGCCAAGACTGGTGGACAGCCCTGCCGTGGGACGACCTGGTAACCACAGGAGCCACTACGTATGTGCAGATCCCAGACAGACTACGCGGCGCCGTCCTCCAGGTGCGCCGGAAATCTTTGGAAGTCCTTCGGCACGCCCGGGAACGCGGGGAGGCGAAGGATGAATGGAAGTTGTTCTTGGTGCTGGACCTCCTCCTTCTCAGCACCAGCGACGAAGCCGCGACCTGCGCAGAGCTGCTCGAGGAGCGCCTTGCGTGGTTCTGGGGGGCTCAGTGGGACGCGCTCTGGGCGTCCGTCCGGCACGGGCGGAAGATCCCAGTGGCGGCCGCCAAGAACAGCGACAAACAAAAGGCGGCGCGGGTACACACCCTGGCAGCAGCTGGAGAAGAAGGCCGGGCCCTCCGAGCCACAGCCAACAGCAGACTGGCCCCACGCACCCCAGACACCTTGAACAAGGTAAAGGCGTGCTTCTGCGAAACAGCTCAGCCAGCGCCGTCGTTGGAGGGCATCCCGCGGGCTCCGCCAGAGATCCTCGAAAGCGTCCAGGAGGAGACAGCGAAACTGCTGCGGAGGCCGCCCCGTCTCTCGGCGCCGGGGCTGCTAGGCTGCCGCTTGGAACACCTCGAAGACGCGAAGCGTTGCGCCGAGACGTTGGGATGGCTCTCCGAAGCGATATCCTGGATCGCCTTCGGCATGCTGCCCAGCGAGGCCCTAGCCGTTCTCCGCACAGGGGAGGTCACGGCGCTCCAAAAGGGAGGCGACGACGTACGGCCGCTCGTTGTGGGTTCCACGGTGCGCCGCCTGGGCTTGCGAGCGCTGGCGCGGGTCAGGAAGGAGCAACTTCGGGCCGCAGCTGGCGAGAGGCAGTACGGAGTCGGGAGGCCAGGCGGCACCGAACTCCTGCTGCGGAAGTTGGAGGCCCAGGCGGAAACCAGGCCCACAGCAGTCTTCCTGAAGCTGGACTTGGAGGCCGCCTTCCCCTCGCTAGAACGGGCGCCCGCCCTGGCGGCCATGGCAGAGCGAGACGAGGTGGTCGCGGCAGCGCTCCTCTCGTGGTACGGGCAGCCAGCGAAACACCTCTGGCGAGACGCTGGGGGTCGTTTCCACCCGCTTCAAAGCGACAGGGGATTCGACCAGGGGGACCCCTTGTCGCCCGCTGCGTTCTCCGTGGCGCAGAGGGTTGCCTTGGACAGGTTCTACGAGGAGCTACTCCGCTTGGACCCACAGGCGAGGCTGTGCAGCTACCTGGACGACTCTTACCTGGTGGTGGAGGCTCCGCTGGCTGCTCTCGCACTGCAAGCCCTGCAACAGGCTCTCCAGCCCCTCGGGCTAAAGCTGAATTCCGGGAAGACAGCTGCTTGGTCCCCAGCTGGGCGAGCCGTGCTCACGGGAGAGCTGCAGGCTTGCTGGGTGCACAGCTTGCCCGTGCTCGGCAAGCACCTGCGACCGCCGGGCGACGCCGACAGCAGCGCGCCGGCAGCCCTCGGGGAGCCAGCGAACAGCCTCGCCGAAGCTGGGAGGAAGCTACAGAAGCTTTACCGAGAGCTTCAGAAACTGCACAAGGCAGGGCTCAAGAAGCACGCGACGGCAGCCCTCCTCCGCGCCTACGCAGGCCCGGCAAGCCAGCACTCCTTGCGAATGGAGCTCGCGACGGACGCCGCGACGGAGCAGTACGACGACCTGCTCGCTGGCTGCTGGCAGGACCTGCTTGGGCGGGACCTCGGCGACACGGCCAAGGAGCTGCTGGGCCTCCCAGCCCGCTTCGGGGGCTTGGGCGCGCAGCTGGCTACCGCGCGCCGCCACGCGGCTTTCCTGGCCTCTTGGACGCTGGCGGCGGGGGAGGTCACGGAGGACCAGGGCAGCGGGGCGCTGGCAGACTGCTTGGAACGGCTGCCGCGAGCGGCCCAGCAACTGACCACTGCGAGGCAAGGGCTGCAAGACCAAGGGCTGGAGCTCGCCGCGGGCGGGGACCTGGCGACTGCGCTGCAGGCGCCCCTGAAGCAAGGCCTGGCAACTGAGAAGGTACAAAGAAACCAGCATGCAGCTCTGCTGCGACGCTTGCACCTTCCCGGACAGGCCGAGCTGCGGGGGGCGGCCGGCAGCGGCAGCGGCGCCTACCTGACCTACCCAGAAGACGAACTCTGCACGCTGGAAGACGCCCACTGGGAGACCAGCGCCAGGCGGCGGCTGCAGCTCCCGCGCGCGGAGCTCAGCCAGCGCGAGCTCGCGACGACAGGGGCCGCCTGCTGCTTGCGCGGCGCCGACGGGGCCAGCTGCGCCAGGGCTCTGGACGAGCGCGGCTACCACGCCTTGACTTGCCAGCGGGGCGGGGGGGTGCTGGCGCGCCATGGCGGACTCAACCGGAGGGTCGCTGGGCTCCTCCACCGCTGGCGCGGCGAACGGCCACTCCTCGAGCAGAGAGTACCGACTTGGGACCGCCAGCGTCCAGAGGGCCAGCTCGAGCGCGCCATCCTGGACTTGGAGTACCAGGAAGACGACGGGGCCCGGTGGCTGGACGTCTCCGTTCGCCACCCCGCAGCCGGCACGCCAGCCGAGCTGCGCGTGGCCGCGCGCCGGGACGGCGAGGCCAGCAGGCGCGGCGAGCGCGAGAAGCACGCGCGCTACCCAGGCGCTCGGCTCACGCCCTTCGTCCTCGAGGCGGGGGGGCGGCTCGGCGCCGAGGCCCGCCTCTGGCTGCTCGGGCAGGTAAGACGCCTGCCTGAGGAACAGCAGCCGCGGGAGCTGGCGCGGGCCTACAAGGTCCTGAGCTGCGGCCTGCAAGCTGCCACGGCGCGCCAGCTCCGCAAGGCAGCCGGCCTGCGCTAGGCGGCGCGCCAGGCGTCGGCGCCGCCGCCACCGGAGGCCGCTCGAGGGGGACGCCGCCCTTGCCACCGCCTAGCGAGCGCGACACCCGGGCTGCAGAGCGCGGGCCAGCTGGCCGCAGGCCCAGACGCTTGGCGAGGCCGCCAGCCAGCGCGACCCCGCGCCCGCGGGCCCGCTGCGGAGCGCTGCTGGCTTACTGCGCCGCTGACTGCGCTGCGGCGGCTGGGCGGCGCTACTGGGGGGCACCGACGACTGCGACGCCGCGGAGAGGCGCAGGCCGGCGGCCGGGGAGGTCGCGTTCGTCTACGAGCTCCCTTGTATGCTGGCCAGAGGCTCCGGCCGGCAGAAGCCCTCACCCTCCTGGGAGTAGCTGCTTGCATGTTTCGCAGGCAGTTACCCCCGGGGGTGCCGCCCCTTGGGGTTGGGCGGCGGGGGCGTCTGCGGGCTCCCGACTATGGAGCGTCGGGCGCGCGGAAGAGACCCGCGTCCGCCGCGCCTCCTCCTCCTCCTCCTCCTTCTCCTCCTCCTCCTCCTCCTCCTCCTCCTCCTCCTCCTCCTCCTCCTCCTCCTCCTCTCGACCGCTCAAGACAGGACGCTCAAGAGAGCGCCAGAAAGCCTCACGAAGAGTCCCACCAGGGCCCAAACTGCCCCCGAGACTGCCAGGAGGGCCCCTGGGACCAGAAAGGACGGCCGCAGAGCACACCAGTGACGGCCCGAGTGGCAAAAAATTGTGTGTTTTCGTGGTTGCTCCGCAGAGCCTCCGGGCAAAACCAACAAGGATGGCCGATTTGCCCAGCCGGGGGGCGCGGGCTCCGAGGAAGCCTCGCCGAGGCTGCGCTCTGGCGGCGTCGGCGGCCCCCGATGGGGCCCCGCGGAGGCTCCACGAGCGCTCCAGGACAGCCCCACAGCCACCGGGCAAAACCGGCAAGGCTGTCAAATTTGTCCGGCCGCGCCCGCGGCCTTCGAT